GTCATCCCTAGCCAGATTCTGCTTCATCTTCAGTCTAGGTCAAGAGTTTTCTGAGCTCTGCCTGTGGTGGCGGGGGGACGGGGTCGTCTTTGGGAACGCTCTGTCACACACGGCCAGTGACTGGCTGGGAGAGTTTCTGGTGGTGCACGTTACATGGTGTGAGTCACTCTCACATTCACAGTTACTGGTCAACTTCACGTCCCGTGTTCCTCTCTTTTCCTGAGCTATTACAGCGGTCAAAGTTCTTTGTGGTGGTGGTGGAGACACGTTGGTCAAGGAGAAACATGCAGTGAAATCCCAGATAGAAGTCCTGCCAGTTGAGAAAGCACAGGGTTTTGTTCGAGACGTGGAGACAGTCCTGGCCACTGAGCCCTGTGGACAGAACTGCCTGTTTGGGGAACTAGGAACCATACATGGAAGTTCAAAGAGAACCCATGATCTTTTTTTTTTTTTTTTTTAGTAAGTTTATTTTCAGAGAAAGGAGTGAATGCGAGTAGGGGAGGCAGAGAGAGGAAGTGAGAGAAATCTCAGGCAGGTTCGTCCTTGTCAGCACAGAGCCCACGGGGGCTCAAACCATAAACCGTGAGACCTGAGCTGAAATCGAGAGTCAGATGCCCAACCAACAGAACCACCCAGGGGCCCCTAAGTCATCATCATCATCATCATCTTAATTCTGGGATCAGCAAAGATTCAGGGAAGGTACGATGAGACCGAGATACTCTGACAGCCTGTCACAGCCATATTCTTAGGCTCGCAGCAAAAGTATCTAAACTAGGCTTTGACCAGCATACTTTTTGGACGCAGTGGCCTCTTCTGTGTTTTTTCTCCCGCTTGCTGTTATAATCATCTGGGAACAAGGCAGTGTTAAGAGGTCGCATAAGCAGAAGGTTCAGTTCATTGTTGTCTTCCCATGCTATTTTCCAGCCAGCCAGCCAACACTTAGCGCTTTTCTAACCATTGCGTGTGTATTTTTTCTTCTTCCTTTTAATCCCAGAAGGCCATTACGCACAGGGAGCATTTTAAGGACTTGCATGAAACGAAAAAACATTGAACCGAACAAGTCAACAATTTAATGGTGGGATCGCATGTCACTTGGGTGACTCGACCGGGGAAAATGGATCTTCTTCAGCTTTTATTCCACGCGGCCACTGGGAAGCCAGGATTACGCCTCCCCAAGGCCCTGTTCTTCTCTTCTCTTCCCGCCTCCCAGTCCCAGAAAGCTAAGCCTTTCTTTTTCCTGATGACTATTTTAAGGTTTGATGAAAATATGTTTTTTCTATTCAACATACTTTCAGCTCAGCTGGATTTTATAGTGAGGCCTGATAGAAACGGTTTCCAGTCTTGAAACCTGTCCTGCGATGAGGGTCTGCCTCTCCTGGTTTTCCTCCTTCCTGGGATGCTAAATGATGTGTTAGCCTGAGAGTATATTTCCTTCCTGCTGCCCCCCTGGTTTTTTTTGTTGGTTTTTTGGGTTTGTTTTTTTTTTTTCTTCTTTTTCATTTGTTTTCTATTCAGCTGGTTTTGTCTTCCTCTCTCTTTGTATCCTTTGGTTTACAACTGTGCTGGGATCCCCACACTGACCCGTTTCAGCACGCAGTGTGGTCCAGCCTATGCTTTCCGCCTTTCAACTTTCTTCTTATAATAGGAAGAAATATAGTCTCCAAAATCGACAAGTGTCTGGTCCATGGAGTTATGGTGCTTAAGGGGATGCTCCTCCTTTGGTCGTTTTTACTCTCTTCTATAAAATAACCTTAAGGATATTTGATGAGGACGCACTTCTATTCCAGGCTCTCAGATACTATGATTTTGGGGCGGCAGCTCAGCTTGTTCCTTCTGGTCTGTTCAGACCACCGAGAGGCTTTTTACCAAAATTGCTCTGTTGCTGGGGAGGAAGAAACCAAGTCCTGAACTCACAGAACTCACTTCCATCTGGTTTATGAGTCACTGCAGATCCTTCCCCCGCTTAAAATCACGCCTCTTAGCTTTCCATCAGCAATCAGAAGAAAAATACAGCTCCCTGCCTGGCTCCACGCCTCCCCGCTCTCCACCCTTCCCAAGTACCCCTACCCCTCTACTCACACGGTTCAGGATGCTGGGTCTCTGTTTCCATCTTTCCCACCTTCTGCTTTCAGACTTACTTCCTTTGCCTGGAATATAATTTCCGGTTTCTTCAAATGGCCTGCCTGTTCCTATGTGATCATGGATCCAGTGCCAGCCACTGCATATATTCATCTTGTCTTTTTGCCGGAGGTGTCTCTACGACTCTGCTCCTCTCGCTCTCAAGTCCTTAAAGTCCTCTCACCTATCACAGTTTGTCATTTATTGTTCGTTCTCATCAGGACACGGAACAGAGATGGGGACTCTTTGCTGGCTGCTTCCTCAGCGCCTTCTCTCACCCGTGTGGGGCCACTACCGGTAAAGTCACAACCTTGAAGGGACGAAGCTGCTGCTACAGGGCTTTTGGCTTTCAGGCCCTGGCGCCTCATGCCGAAAATGCTTTCCTTCGCCGGCCATCATCAGCGCGCGTGAGTGGTGGAACCGTACTGGTGCTGGAGTTCGTGGGGACTAAAATTTTATCAAGAGAGAGCTAAGCAACAGAGAGTGGGCGCTAAGAAGAAGGAAGCTGGAGGTGAGAGGGGCTAATCGAAGCAAGGGTGTGTTGATCCGGTACATTTCTGGACACCTCCTACTTCTCTCCACCCTCACTACACTTCCCTTGTCCAGATTGGAAACGAGCTAACGTTTGCTACATGCCTGGCACACGGCAGGCACCGTGCCATTTCATTTTCATGCTAACCCAGTGAAACCACTACTCTCTTCTCCCCATTTGACGGAAGAGGAAGCTTATCACAAGAGAGATTAATAACATTTCTTAGGGTCATAGGGTTACTAAGTAGTGGAGCTGAGATTTGAACTGAGGACTTTAGGGTCTCAAAGTACTGAATTCTGAACATGGCCCCATTGCCTCATTGGAAGCTATACTCTCTCTCTGTCTCCCTCTCTCTCTCTCTTCCCCGCCCCCCCGCCATCCATTCTCTAGCTGTTTCCTGTCCCCTGTGTGCACTGTTCTTTTAGCCAGTAATTCTTTCTGGTCCTGTCCTTGTTTTCTTTCCCTCTTCTCTTCTGGGATGCCACTTCCCCTGGGCAGACCAACCTTCCCCCCCCCCCCCCGCCTCTTGCAGGCTGGCCTTGAGCCTCTGGTGTCTCGTTGGTTTCCTGCTCCCTGCTTCCCTGGTGCTCACCCAGCAGTCACAGCTCACCTCCCAGGACCCCCTGCACTGTAGGCCGATGGCACGGAGCCCGGCCAGAGAAAGGAAGGAAAGGAAGGCAGCTAAGGGAGGGAGGGACAGGCATTTCATCCTGGAGAACAGAAGCTATGGGGTCAGGGGCTATAGTTGGCAGAGGAAGCAAACAGAGGAATGTGACCCAGTACAAGGTTCTGGAAGTCAAGGGAGGTCAGGAGGCTCCAGTTGGAGGTGAGGGGAAACAGAGCCCAGCATGAGATTCTGAGGACCACAGGATCCCCTGGGCTCTGGGCACAGCTGGCCACAAGGCACTGGGGAGTTCGCTTCCATTCCTGGGCAGGCCAAGTGCTCAGAGGTCATTTGACCCAGATGGGAGAGAGGCCTGGCGGTGCGTGTGTAAGTGGTGGGGTGGACTTTGCACTCGGGGCTCCTTGCACAGAAGCCTGAGCCCCCGGTTACTTTCCTGACCTCTCAAGAGGAGGTGTGGGCAGGGCTGTAGATGGAGAGCATGCTCTGTGTGTGCTGATGACCCCCTGCAGGGGGCTGGGCAGGGGCTGTCAGGGGGATGGGAATGGTGGCAGGAAACCCTGGCAGAGAAGCTTTCTCTTCGAGGTCGTTTGGCCGGGTCGTTTGGCCGGCATCGCAAATTCACAGACTCTTTATTCTGTGCCCAGAATAAAGGGCCTCAGAATCCTTCTCAACACGGCTGTCAGGACGCACTGCCAATGAATCAGAGTCCACACTTGAGATGGAATCCGTTCTTGGTCCTTTTCAATGCTTAAGAATTTTCACACATGTCTGGCACATAATCTGCCCTCGGTAAATATTTATTAGTGGATGAATATACATGTGTGAGTCTATAATCACCTTCTCTCCTCAATAGGTAGGGAACTCACTTTTGCTAAACAGAGAGCTACGCAAGGGATGGTTTGTGTACCCGCACGATAAAGGCTGTGCGGAATAGGGAGCCTGAAAGACCAGGAGGTTCCGAGGCGTCATGTAACTGGAGGGGGTGGGAGGCATCATGACCACAGGGGAAGAGAAGTCGGCGGTTGGAGAGCAGGTGACAGTTTACAGCTTGGTGTCCTGCTCTCCCGGGGACTGAAGGAGAAGCGTCATCACGAGTTGTCATGGCGACGAGGCTCAGCCTACAAAGGGGGACCTTTCCACTCCATGACTGGCGAAGCCGGTGGCTCCTCACGGTCTAGAAGTGTTGGTAGAAGGAGGGAGCCTGGTGGGCCGTCAGAGCTGGAGGGGAGCTCCCGGGCCTGTATCACCTGCACGGGACCTCTCGTCCCCTCGTGCAGACCTCGTTGGGAGTAAATCATTTCTCCCATCTGGGGAAATCCGAGGGGGACTGAAAAGCACGGCGGCAAAAGGCAGCACCGTGTGAGGTCAGGTGTAAAGCTCAGACCCTGTGCCCGCCCCACCTGCCAAGTCCCTTTACTTGGGAAAGGAGTCCGCATGTAACGGTCACGGGTGCTCTGTTTCTCAGTCTCGGGGCCCCATGATTGGAGTCAGGGGACCTGGTCTGCTGCCACCTGTTTTGTGTCTCTCTTGACCCAAAACACTCCCTTCCCTCCTCTACCCTGGCTTCTGGGGGGGCTGTCTGGAGCAGCTGGACATTTCTTTGCTAACCTCCGCTTAGTTGCCTCCCCCCGCCGCAAGAAGGTGATGTGTAGCTTAAGGTCTCCTGAAAAGCTCTGATCAGGCCTCATTCTTAGTCCTGGTGCCACAGAGTGACGTATGGGAAAGTCTTTGATAACTAGGAACACTCCCCGCAGAGATGTTGGTCTTTCAGTGGGTTGTGGCATAGCTCTGGAGCCTGACGTGGGGTCTCTACATAGACTAGCAGCTGCGAGCTCACGGGTCCATGTTCCGGTGCCCCGTGGTGGGGAGCTGGGGTGGAGATTCTCACCCTTGTTTAGCCACGAAGGGCCGTGTTTCATTCTTATCAACCAGGTTTCCCCAGAGCAAGTCTGGGCTAGCCGACCTGGGACGTTCTCTAGGGGATGAGGCCACATGACGCAAGTCTGGTTCACAGGGATGGCGTAAATTAGGCCCCGTTAGAAGCTGCTGATAAAGCTTAGAAAACAAAAAGAAGTCACGTGAGCAGCACAGAGCTTACCAGAAATGTGTTCGTTTGGCAAATATTTGTTGAGCCAGGCACTGTGCCGGATTCTGAGTGCGCAGGGGTGAGTCGAAGGGCCTTGGTCGGTCCCTGTTCCTGCAAAGATTATTATTCATGCTCGCGTACCTCCGGTTGAGTGACAGGCAGTGTTCTAAGGGCCTCACAAGTATTAACTCATCTCACATGCCTAACAACCCTCCGAGGGAATGTTCTGTTATCCCACTTTATGGATGAGGAAACTAAGGCACTAAGAGTCTTAGGCACTTGCCAAGGTAGCACTGCCACTAGGTGTAGAGCCAGGATTTGATCAAGGTGATTTGACTCTAGAGTTTGCCTTAAATTGCCACCCGACTCCTGCTTTTGCTTCTATTTTGTTGTGCTGCTTATTGTGGGGTTTACATTCTAGTGGGGCAGACAGTTTTTATAAAAGCTATAAGCTGGGTGTGGTGACTGCTGTGGAGAGGTGGGTGGGAGGTATCGAATGGATGGGGGCGGCCTCTAGCCGAGAAAACCTCAAAGCCAAATCCTCAGGATGAGAAGGGCTGAACTCTGGGAAGAAGGAGTGTTAAGGGAGGAAGGCCCTGGACACAGGGAACAGGATGTGAGAAGGTTGTGGGGTGGGGAAGTGTGGGAAAGAGTTTGGGTTTTCCCGTAAAGGTGGTGAGAGACCGCTGGAAAATTGTAAGCGGGTGGGTAACCAAACGCCACGGATTGAATTGTGTTCCCTTCCCAAAAGATATGCTGGAGTCCTAACCCCAGTGTCTCAGAATGTGATGTTATTTGGAGAGAAGGTCTTTATGGAGGTAATCAAGTGAAAACGGGGTCATAAAATCCAGTATGACAGACATGTTTATAATGGCGGGGGGGGGGGGGGGGGGTTTGCAGACAGAGACACAGGGAGAGCACCGTGTGAGGCTGAAGGCAGAGATCATAGTGATGCATCTACGGGCCGAGGAACACCGGATTGCCGAGGGAAGCTCTTGGAAGCAGCATGGAGTGGGTCTGCCCTCACGACCCTCAGAAAGAACCAACCTTGCTGACACTCTCCTCTTGGACTTCGAGCTTCCAGAACTGTGAGAAAATCAATTTCTGTTGCTTAAGCTCTGAAATCTCAGGCAAGCTCCAAGGTAAACTGAAGAGTACAAAACTCGCCGCTCCAGATCCCAAGAGCCATTCTCCTTCCCAGTAAGTGTGAAAGAATCTCTTTTCTGAATCAGGTTCGCCAACAGACACCTCAGGTCGA